CATCAAGTCACACTTGAAACCAGCAGCTCCAGGAAGCCAGCCAGGTTGCCTTTGCCTCTTAGAAAGCAGCTTTCACTGCTCAGGGAAATGAGGCATTCAGACACGGAGAGAGAAAGTACCTGTTTTATATCCTTTAAGCATGACACCCTGGCATGTACCAAGGCAGACATGTTTGATAGTCAGTAGTCAAGAAAAAAACCACGGAAGAACATGGATTTTGTTACATTAGTCCCTAGGAGGGGTGGGTGGTTCTAATTACTGAGTGGTAAGAGGAGATGTGATACTGAGTTTCTTTGGGAATTTTCCTTTAAAATACATGATTGTTGGAAAGCCCCTTCCCCTCCCCTCCGTCCCTTGTGGGTCAGGAATGCTCAGAGAGGGGCCGAGATACAGCAGACAGTCAATCATTGTTCCAGAACTGCAAGCAGGTAGATCCTGACATTTTGCAATAGTGTCCTTAGCAATTTCTTAGTATATTTGCAGAAGACAAAGCTTGGTGGAGTGCTGTGGATAGCATGCAGGTTAGGCAGGAGCTGGGGGAAGGAGGTGGGAGGGAAGTAGATGCAGTGGTCACAGGAGGAGGAGAGGGTTCCTCTGGGCAGATGGTTATATGCAGAGCAGGAAGTGAGCGCCTGCCAAGGCGAAGACTCAAGCAAGTAGCAGGACTCGGTGTCTTTAAATTTGGGAAGCAGAGGGGCCCCAAAGGCATGCAGGGAGGCACAGCTGAGTAATAAAACCTCCATCTACCAGGGAGAAGAGTTTTAAAGACAGGCTCAGCAAAGCAAAAGCCTGAAAGTTCACCGGGAGAGGGGTTAGACACATTATTTAAAATGGTCATTTCTAAGCAGGGGGCCGGAGAAGAACCATTTGTGACACCAATTGCATGAAAAACCCATTGAGCTTACCTCACTAGTTTTCCAGGATGTATCAGTGACAATCTGGATGAGCGAACCAGCCAGCCGTCCAGGAGGTGGTAGCTAGTTTGGATACAGGATTTTTGCACCTCAGCTGAACCACCATGTAAGCCTTAAATGCTCTGTCTCAGTGCTCATTCTTCTCAGTTCTCCTGTATGAAGGGGATTAGAACTGGCACATTTCAGCCTAGCAACCCTATTTCACAATGAGAGTTCACTGAGCAGAGCGTGATTCTCCCTGTAAATGTTAAGTTAAAAGGATACCCAATAACTTGAAATCTAGGCAGTTTTTTCAAAAGGAGGTAAGTCCTCTCAGGTACTACATGTGTCCCTGGGTTGTGGTGGCACAATCGAATTTTTCTATTTAATGCATTTTTTTCTCCTGTTACTGTGTAAGAAACTCTCATAAACAGGAGAGGAACTAAGGCACCAAGCCTGGAAACATTTGCACGCATTAACATTCAGCACACAGTAGTGCATTACATGCCCACTTGTTTGGAGAATTGGGTTCTGAGTGTGGAGAGGAAACAGAAATATTGACTACACAAGCTGCTGTCAAATGCACTAACAATATTTCCCCCTCCAGTCTTTCAGTTCTGTTATTTAGGTGTTACTTTAATTCGTCTGCAAGTTGGTGTCTCTTTACAGGTATGATCGAGATGGTTTTCATTTCAGATTGATGAATGGGGTGTGCACAGAGTCTTTATAGAACAACCTTGTTGTATGAAGAGCCTGACCACGTAAAATCACGTAAACTAAGAACTAAAATTAATTCACTTTGGAATTTGAGTGCAGTGAGTGGATGCTAGCGTGCATGGCTGACTTCTGTGTTGTGCTTAAATTTACTGTATTTAAATTAAAATTCTATTGACTGCAAAAGGCTCTTGTACACTTTGTCCAGGATTAAATGTATTGTTGAGATCTAATCCAAATTAGATTGTAAAAGATAATACTCCACGGGGGAGAAGTATTACCCCCACATCCCTACACACAAGCCCAGCACTTCTATTGACATCAGAAGCATCAGGCCAGTAACTTCACCAGCTGCACACGATTGATAATTATTTTTAAAAATGATTTGCAGCCTGCAGCCCCTCCCGTCCGAGAGTCTTGCACCCTGTTACAATGAGCACAGGGAGAGATGACTGACCACACCAGAAACCTGTGGCAGAACAAAGAATAGAAATAGATTTTGAAGTTTAAAAATGTGCCCTGGTGTAACAAGCGCCATGATAGGCTGCCACTGGCCCCTGCGTGCTCCGGAGACGAACAGATGGCGCTGAGGCAGTGTGAGAATCAGTTATAGCAGCGAGACCATTGTGGACTGGTCCCAAAAAGGTCCAGCGGCAGCTGTGCATGGGAGCCACAGCGCTGTACGTAACTCCTGGAACGCAGAGTGGCAGCTGCCAGCACCTCCCCCAGAGCCGCAGAGTGTGGGTTTTCTTCAAGGCTTTCACCATTAAAACTGGTGGCAACCATAAGGTTCTCTCTCAGCCAGCAGGCAGGGGATGATTAGGGTTTTGCAGCCCTGTCATTTTAACCCTTAACGATTTGGAAGGCAGACCGATTCTAAGGCCAGGAGGGACCAATGTGATCATCTAGACCGACCCCTAGAGCAGATTTTAGAAAAACATCCAACATTGATTTGAAAATGGCCAATGATGGAGAATCCATCACAGTCCTGGGTAGATTGTTCCAATGGTTAATTACTCTATTAAGAATGTACACCTTATTTCCGGTATGAATTTGTCTAGCTTCAACTTCTAGCCATTGGTTGGTGTTATACCCTTCTCTGCTAGATTGAAGTGCCCATTATTAAATATTTGTTCCCCAGGCAGGTACTTCTAGACTATAAACAAGTCACCCCTTAACCTTCTCTTAGTTTAGCTAAACAGATAGACTCAAAGAGCTCAATCACTATAAGGCAGGTTTTTTAATCCTTTAATCATTTCCATGGCTCTTCTCTGAACCTTCTCCAATTTATCAACATTCTTCTTGAATTGTGGGCACCAGAACCACATTGGGACCCCATTGGAAACGGATCTGCTAGATAATTTCCCATTTACAGCTGCATTTGGAGAGCTAACAGTTTAATATGTGCCCTGCTAATTTTATATCATTTTTGTTTTTTAATCAAAATATCTTGGAGCAGTATGTCAAATGCCATACTAAAGGCTAAGTATATTACATTAACATTATCTTTTTGTCAATCAAATGTATAATCTCACCAAAAAAATATAGATCGTTTGACAGGCTCTATTTTCCATTAACCCATGTTAATTAGTATTTATTACATTATCCTCCTTTAGTTCATTATTAAACCAAATCCTGGATCAGCCGCTCCATTATCTTGCCAGGGATCAATGACAGACCTATAATTCCTGGGTCATCCCAGTTACCCATTTTAAACATTGGCACAACATTAGTTTTCTTCCAGTCTTCTGGAACTTCCCTGGTGCTCCAAGACTTAGTGAAAAATCAACATTAACAGTTCAGCAAGATCCTCAGCCAGCTCTTGTAACACTCTTGGTTGCAAGTTATCTGGACCTGCTGATTGAAAAATATCTAACTTTAGTAGCTTCTGTTTAACATCCTCTAGAGATACTAGTGGAATGGAAAGAGTTATTGCCATATGAGACTGAGTCGTCTGTTTTTCCCCAAATACAGAACAGAAATATTTATTGAACACCTCTGCGTTTTTGATATTTCTACCATTTCCATCTAGTAATGGACTAGATACCATTGTCAGTATTCTTTTTGTTCCTAATATATTTTTAAAACTCCTTATGGTCCTAAACGCTGCTGGCCATATATTTCTCCTTGTGTCCCTTGGCTTCCCTTTATCAATTTTCTACAATTCCTAACTTCTGATTTATAGTCATTACTCTTCACTTCCCCTTTCAACCATTTGTTTCATATAATATAATTTAACCACCACCACTTCCCTAGATTATGGCTTTTTGGGCATCTCATAAGACATTCATAAATGATTTCCAATCATCGTTTGCATTTTTCTGATTAAATTATCCCTCCCAGCTTACATGCCTCATGTTTTCATTGTTCTCTGCCTCAGACAATATCTCTGGAGGCTGCAAACTTCCCCATTCATTTCAACGGGTTAACTCTGAAACGTAAAAATGTCAACTGAAGTGTCACACATTGATCATTTTGCTGCCAATTGTTTTAGTAAAAACCACCCAAGTGTGCTTATCCCAGTCCCAAACTTCCTGAGGTAAGGAATAAGTACTGGCCTATTGCCCTGACTGTATTAACTTGTATATATAAACCACTAAGCTTCCCCCCACCCTTTCCTTAAGGTAAAAATGAAGGTGCCAGAGAATTTTCATCCTGTTGCACCAGGCACAACAGAATTCAGAGACCCTGCGACATAATTTAGGACCAGCTGGCTGGGGAAGACATTGGTCGGGTTCTTCCTTGACGATTTTTGTTTAACAACCTGAAGCAAGCTGGCTCGATATATGCTCACAGGTAAGTGTCTCAATAGCTTCTCTCACAAGCTGGAGAGTGGTATTGAAACGGCTGCGTGAGTTAGCATGAAGCAGCCAACAGCTCCAGGGCAAATCGGAGCCACGGCAGGTTAGTTTGTGCTTGGATACTCCATAAGTGCTGACATGGTGACCCTCCAACCAGACTTTTAAAAAAAAAACAAAACGTAACGACAACCACAAAAAGGTGAATCTGTATCAAAGGAGGTTTGGTTAAAGTAGGCTTCATTGGCAATGCATTTCATGCCCTTTCTGAGGGGGGTTTCTTCCTGGACAGAGATTTTTCTTGGGGAAAAATTCAACTTTCAGAATTAAGGAGCAAATACAGAGACTTTCTCACTTGTCTGTGTTAACAGTGACATTTTAAAACCTGTTCTGATAGTTCCTTGTGAGTTGTGTCCAGCTCTGTCAAATAAACACAATACAAGCATGGAACATCTGGGCGTGGCAGGGATTGCCTGGGTTTGGAGGACCTATTAGGTGGGACTGATTATGATTACATCCCTCCTCCCAATTGTAACAGGAGTTCACCTCCTCTACTGAAACCGGAGCACAAGAGATAGAAACGGGACACTGGGAATTCCATTTTAGGGTTTTATTAGGAGTTTTCTGCAGAATCAAAATATTTAGCAAATTAAAGATTCATCAAGAAACTGCGTATATTTTATGTATTTAGATCTTTAACAATGTACAACATAATACACTTTGAACTATCAAAACCAAACCAAAAAAAAAACCTGATGTCTATTACTAGATGTTAGTGAATATGTAACTAAAGCAGTGTGAAAAAAATGAAACGAATGCAGTGAGTATATTGTTTGTATTTAAAGAAAGTGCTTGAAAGATGAACCCCCTGCTTCACACTGACTATCATTTAAAACAGACCATCAACTGATTTCCTAGGAGGGCATTTGTTTAAGTAACCTATAAACCTGGAGGGGAGAGATTGCAGAGGCCCAGCTCTGACCTCTTCGGTTCAAGGACCAGCCACTGGGTGTGAGTCCAGCTAGAGTTCAGAGCTTACCTGTTGTGAAGAAACTCTGTTTACACACCACTCAAGCACTGGACACCTATGTCTGGCAGAAGTGTGTGGCAGAAGGGCCAAAAACAAGAGGGAAAGGAACAGCTTCTCTCTTTATGCATAGCGACAGGTTAGAAACCAGTGTTCCACTAAGTTACAGACTAATTTTCAACCCAATACAAATAAAAGTCCATTGCACTAAAGGTCAACTTCAGTTAATCTGAACTGTGATACAGTCAAGTGTTTCAGTAAAGCTGACACCATGAAAGCAGCTTCAAAGAACCAGAGCATTCTTGTTTCAAACCCAACTTTGTATTCCTCTGTCCAAGTCCAGTGCAATAGTGAGGCGGGGGGGGGGGGGGGGAGGGGGGAAATACTTCCAGCTTTGTCTATGTACAATTCCAGTAGTGCTTGGGCAGTCTAAACTCTTCGTGGCCAAACCAGAAAAGGAAACCTAGGAAAGGGCACTTTCAAAATTTAATTTAAGAAAGGAAGTTAACTCCTCTCAATGGGAAGAGTGCGCTGGAGTGACGCACACAAATGGGCTCAGTCAGTCGCATTCTCCAATGTACACGAAACGCAGAGCTTCTTCCCAAAGAGAGAGCACATCACACGCTCCGGCTGTGAAGATGACAGCGGTCTGGTTACGCCGGCAGACTGCCTTCCCCTGGAGGTGCTCTCCATTATTCTCCAAGAACCCCAGTGTTTTCAGCTGGCTCCAGCACGGGCCATTAGATCTTCCAAAGCATTGTCCTGGTCATTGTTATGTAATAATAAGACCTCCTTAATGTCCTTCAGTTCAAAGCCCATTTCTTTAAATTTACTCATTAGCTGGAGAAGTTCTGTTGTCTAGAAGAGAGAGAGAGACATTAAGTGTTTGAGAAGGGGAAGGTTCCCGGAAAGGCTCAGCTTTGATTCAGGGGATGCTGACGGGGGCTGGGAATGCAATGCAGAGCGGGTCTCCTGCCACTGGCCAGAATGGGGGCTGCTCAGTTAATGGCCAAAACTCCCAGCTGCCCTAGATAAACCAAAAAGAAAAGGAGTACTTGTGGCACCTTAGAGACTAACCAATTTATTTGAGCATAAGCTTTCGTGAGCTACAGCTCACTTCATCGGATGCATCCGATGAAGTGAGCTGTAGCTCACGAAAGCTTATGCTCAAATAAATTGGTTAGTCTCTAAGGTGCCACAAGTACTCCTTTTCTTTTTACGAATACAGACTAACACGGCTGTTACTCTGAAACCTAGATAAACCAGTTCAACCGCACTTGTTTAAAGGATGCACACTGGACGGCATGGCAGCCGTTTGGCTGTCCTCGTTATCCACCTTCAAAACCCTCCTTTGCCTTTGTAATCTCTACAGAAAGCTGCACAACGATTAGACGGCTGGTGTCAGAGACCACTGCCCATCACAGTTGACCTACACTGCCTCACTGTCTCCTTGTACTCCCCCGTCAATCTGGCTCGCCATCTATTGTCTCTCGATTCCGACTTAGACTGCTAGCTCTTTAGACAGTTCTGTGTTCAGACAGCATCTAGCACAATGGGGGGGCTGATCTAGGACCAGGGCTCCTAGGCACTATGGGAAGAAGAAGAAGAAGAAGAAGGAAACCAGCAGGCAATGATGCTTGGGCTGCAGTGCGTCTATTATGCATCACTAACTTCTGCTGCGTGAATTAACCATTTGAGGCTACAGACCATTGTTGGGGCCTACACAGTCTCCATCGAGAGTTAGGGATCAGTCCCCAACATGCCCTTCACTGAGGCCACCCTGCAGCCTGCTGGTTTCACACCTTACCCATGGATTGGCCAGAACCAGTCTGGACCCCGCACTGGCCATGTAGGCCAAAGCCCGCCCTTTCAGTTTCTGCTGCCTCCAAAGGTTGTCTCAATTTGAAGTTGTGACCATGCTTGTTAGAAGCTAAAGGCTCATGGGGCTGAGTCTGGGAACTGTAGAACTGCCCTTGCTATCACATGGCTCTTCAGAGCGTATGGGACGTTAGTGGGATCACCCCAGTTTCCAGGAGACAGGTGGCCAACAACAGCACCACCACAACTGGGAGCCCCGAGTCTCAGCAGACACCAAGGACTGACAGAAGGAGGAGACATCTGAATTGTGAATTCGCATAAAGTTGTTTCATTTGCAACCCACGTCCCTAACAAGTCCCCTGGCTTCCCCTCCTCCCACCAAACTTGTGTAAGCCTTTCCCAAAGGGGGTGTCATCTAAGGACTGGCTATTTCCTGGGTTTGGGTGAAGCTGGTTCTGTCACCAGGTTTGCAGGAGGGGCTGAGTGCAGATTCCTTCCTGCAGCCAAGTCCACGCCGCTCCACATCTGCCATGCCAGGAGCTGCCCCTCGTGCTTGCCTGACCCTTCTTCTGCCAAGTCCCATTCCCATCCTGAGTCCAGGAAAGAGCAGGGGGGGTCCGCATGTACCAGCCGCACAAGCTAAAGAGGGAGCGCGGGCACTGAAGGACCAGTGACTATGTGGAGCAGATGGGTGGGGTGAGGCTGGCTGCCTAGTCTTGCTGTCAAAGCTGTAAGTCAGGAGACAGCTCATTTTAAAGAGGGAATGGTACAGTAAAGGGGGCACAGGGCACAAGCTGAGGGCCCAGCCTCACCCTTGAAGTGCTCAGGACATGAGCCCCAGGACCTCAGTGCAGCGTTTGGAGAGTGAATGCAATGATCCTTAGCACCCGGGAGATTAAACACCAACCCTTCTTACAGTCAGCTTCCCAGCTTCACAGGAGCCAAGTCTCTGGCATTGAAACAAAATCAGAGTTTCAAATAATTTACTGCTGCTGAAATCAGTCCTTTGTGACATCGGCTGCAGCAAACAGTTGGTGCCACAAATGGCTAGAGGACTTCAAGCAAGGCAGCTGGAGCAGCTGAGCTCTCAAGGCAGGTCTCCTGTTTTCATGCAAACACTGCAGTAGCAAAAATAATGGAAGTGGCTGACATTCAGAAGTGGAGGAAACAGTTCTGTAATCGGAGCAGAACTGCTCCCAAACCAGAGGTTTCTCAATGGCCGAACAGGCATTCGCTCGACTTCCATGGCGAGAGATGCTCTCTGAAAGTCAGTGAAATAACCCGGCCGCCACAACAGAGCAAAGCACCTCCCCTTGGCATGGAACCAGGACAGCCTCACCTTCTCTTCTGAACACTGGTACATTTCCAGAGCTGCTTCGACAAGGAGAGGATCGAAGCCCTTCTCACAAAGCTGGCTGTGTGCAAACAGATAATCAAGAACCTGTGGGGGAAAAGGTAAGATGGGAGAGTGGAACTCACCACTAGGCTACTCACCCGTGCACCACAGCCCACTGACAGGGCTTCACTAACTGCTTGGAGAAAGTCCTTCTTGTTGGGACTAACAGGTTCTCAGCAAGGGAACTTGTTTAGAGAAGCTTAACTAAACTCTTTTGGCCTTTCATTCTCTCCCTCCCTGAGCTTTGGTTTTCACGCTTTCAGCCAGAAGCCCTCTATAAATTAAAGGCTGGTCATTCTTTTGCCTTTTAACGCAGATACAATTCCTGCCGTCAACCCTTTTTTCGGAAGTGGCTAGTACTTCTGCACAGCAACTATTTTAACACCCGGCTGAGGGTTCAGTGATCAAGATGAAAAGCCTTTTGAATCCTGGTTTCCCCACAGACTTCAGGGAGCTGATCCAATCTGAAAGCGGTCGCACCTTCTGAGATCAGTTCAGCTTACTGGATGCTCTGCTGAGACAAGAGCCAAATTCACGGTCCATTTTGGTCAATTTCACGGTCATAGGATGTTAAAAATAGTAATTTTCATGATTTCAGCTATTTAAATCTGAAATTTCAGGGTATTGTAACTGCAGGGGTCCTGACCCAAAAGGGAGTTGTGGGGGTAGTCATCAGGTTATTGCAGAGGGGAGGGAGATCACAAGATCGCCACCCTTACTTCTGTGCAGCTGCCTGCAGAGCTGGGCCCTCAGTCAGCAGCTGCCGCTCTCTGGCCGCCCAGCTCCGAAGTTGGACTCTTCATAACTTGGCACCTCATGCAGTCTCCAGAAGTCATGTACACCAAGAGTGCCAACTCTTGAAGTACACAGAGCAGTATAAACAAGTCACTGTCTGTAGGAAATTTTAGTTTGTCCTAACTTCGCTGGTGCCTTTTATGTAGCCTGTTGTAAAACTAGGCAAATATCTGTATGAGTTGCTGTGCCCCCTGGAAAACTCGTGCGTACCCCTGAGGGTCTGCAAGCCCCTGGCTGAGAACCCTGCTCTAGAGCACAAGGATGCTTTAAGTTCGCGATCGGCTGGAAAGAAGATGAGTCACTCAAGCAGCCAATACAAAGTATCCTTTCTACCAACTGCAAGCACTGATGGGCCACTAAACGCATCCCCCTCCGTGCTCTGGGTGGCTAGGGAGACGCTCTGAAGAGGGCACAGAGCAACTGTGAGAATAAGGAAAATTTGGCAGCATTCTTCCCCTATTCGTCTGGGTAGAAACATTGTCTGGGTCTGAAACGGATCCAGACTCGGAACTGCCACTTCCCTATGCAGTGAAGCGAGCTCTGTGCCCTCATTTTAGCAAGCGCCGTTCTGAGGCCATTTGCACCACATGCTGTGGGGACTGAAGAAGAGCCAGCTGCTGCATCACTGCGAAAGCCAGCATGCGTCATCTGTACCCATCAAATCCTTCGGGGCCAAGACTAAGTTCCCGCTAAGCTGTGCGGCCAACAAATCAGCCTATTAAGGGCTGCGGCAGGGAGAGATGCCTCTCCCCGCCGGCTCCAGCCCAGCCCTGGACCTGCTGCGGCCAGGGGAGTGGCGCCCCTCCCCCAACCCAGCCCTGGCCCGGACCTGCCGTGGCAAGAGGTGCCTATGATGTGGCCCCAGCCCAGCCCTGGCCCTGCCGCACCTCTCCCACAGGAGGGGCGCATACTCCCCGCCCCGCCAGCCCAGGTGCTGCTGCGGGGAGAGAAAGCTTGGGGGGTGGGGGGGGGGAAGAGTCCCAGGGCAGCCTGCACCCCAAACCCTTCATCCCCAGCCCGCACCCCCAGCCGGAGCCCTCACACCCCTGCAGCCCAACCCTCTGCTCCAGCCCTGAGCCCCTCATCCCCGGCCCCACCCCAGAGCCAGAGCCCTCACTCTCCCACAGTCCAAACCCCTCGGCCCCGGCCCTGCAACGTGAATTTTGTTATGTGCACCAATATGGAGGTGATGAGTGACACACCACCTCCATATTGGTGCACATAACAAAATTCATTCCACACGTGGGTGGGAAAACTTAAGAGGGAACACTGGGCCAAGATCTCCCAAACAGTGAGCCTGCATAAAAGCCTTCAGTGCAATAGCTGCAGGCACCCGTAACTGCAGTTGGCCCAGAAGCTGTACACAGAATCAGCCTCTTTACCTAGGTACTTGTGTGGCTTTCACCCCCGTTGTATCCGAGCAAGGCGAAGGTCCATGCTAAAGCTCCTCACTTGAAGTCTAGATCTCCAAGCCCAGCCTCTCTCCCCACAAAAGAGGAAAGGCCACGTGTGGTTCAGGGCCTGCCCCGATTTCAGAACAGTGGACAGGAAGCATTTCTAGGCTGGTGCCAACCTAAGGAATGTCTCATGTCTGAACCCGCCACTGGCTGCGGCCAATGGACACACTTTCCCTGTAGCCAGTTCACCTGGTACTAGTGACACCCACACTTCAGCTCCAAAATCCATTCCCAGTTAATCTGCAAATTACGGCAAATTCCAGGCCTCCATTAGGTCCTAAGCGTTTTGGTTTTTGTAAGGCCATGGGGTCCACACTACTGACAGAGATGGCTGCACCTCTGGAGCTCCCACTCCTTTGCAAGAGCTCGTACCTGTTCTATATTCTGTCCTTTCTTCTTCATGGCTGTTACGACATCGTCGTAAGAGTATCCCATGTTGACGACTGTTTCCACACACTGCCTCTCACTGGCGGACAGGGTCTGCAGCATGTCTGAGTACGTGGGGCCGCTTGACCATTTAGTGCAGCTGGTATTACTGGGCACTTTACACACTGTGAAGTTTTGGTGCGTTATCTAGGAATGGAAAGCCAAGCAGAAATGAGTGGTGATACATCTCTATCCCAGCACCATGCCTCTTCCCTCCCTGGCCAGTGTAGGACTACTCTTTACAGAACTCTGAGGGAGTTATCTCATCTCGTTTGAAATGAACAGAGCTGGGCTTCCCACACTTCCTTTGGGAGACCAATCACTGTTGGGATGAAACTGAGCAGTGGGGTACAAAAACATTCCCTCTGCTCCCAATGATCTCTTCTAGGATCACCCTAGGCAGTTCCTCACCCGATATCCCCTTCTACTTTGAAAGATACTAGATCTACGTTTACTAATTTAGCCAAGCTCTGTCATCATGAGATGACAGCCAGCTAGAGAGAGTAGGTAACAAAAAGAGCATTTATGAAATAAGCAGAATCAACTCTTGGCCCTACAAAGGTACAGATGACCACATCCATGTGCTGACCACTTTATTGACCGTCAGTACACTCATAGGAGCCATTCATTGCTTCCTTCACACAAAAGAACATTACCAATGTATGGGTAATTTAGGAATGTACTATGCAACATACCAACTTATGTAGGTAATTTGGGAACTTACCATAGGGAACTCTGATTCCTTGTAGTCTCTCTGTACCTGTAAAAACAACAGATGAATGAGAAGATTGAAGAGCTGTCTACTATACTGACAAGCAAAGTTCCTAGTGAGAAGGGGGCCTGGAAGGACAGAGCCAGGAAAGATGGGTAGAGGAGCAACAATTGCCATACTGGGTCAGACCGTTAGTCCATCTAGTACACACCTGTCATTGACAACGAAACATAAAACACCTTGTAGTAGAGAATTACGGAATAGCCTACCCGTAAGAAGAAAAGGAGTACTAGTGGCACCTTGGAGACTAACCAATTTATTTGAGCATAAGCTTTGGTGAGCTACAGCTCACTTCATCGGATGCATACTGTGGAAAACACAGTGAGATTTATATACACACAGAACATGAAAAAATGGGTGTTACCATACACACTGTAACCAGAGTGATCACTTAAGATGAGCTATTACCACCGGGGAGGGGGAGAGAAAACCTTTCGTAGTGATAATCAAGGTGGGCCATTGCCAGCAGTTAACAGGAACATCTGAGGAGCAGTGGGGGGAGGGGAGCGGGGGGGGGAAAATAAACATGGGGAAATAGTTTTACTTTGTGTAAGGACCCATCCACTCCCTGTCTCTATTCGAGCCTAAGTTAATTGTATCCAGTTTGCAAATTAATTCCAATTCAGCAGTCTCTCGTTGGAATCTGTTTTTGAAGTCTTTTTGTTGTAATATTGCGACCTTTAGGTCTGTAATCGAGTGATCAGAGAGACTGAAGTGTTCGCCGACTGGTTTATGAATGTTATAATTCTTGACATCTGATTTGTGTCCATTTATTCTTTTACGTAGACACTGTCCAATTTGACCAATGTACATGGCAGAGGGGCATTGTTGGCACATGATGGCATATATCACATTGGTAGATGCGCAGGTGAACGAACCTCTGATAGTGTGGCTGATGTGATTAGGCCCTATGATGGTGTCCCCTGAATAGATATGTGGACACAGTTGGCAACGGGCTTTGTTGCAAGGATAGGTTCCTGGGTTAGTGGTTCTGTTGTGTGGTGTGTGGTTGCTGGTGAGCTGCTGCTACTCTGAATCCTACCCGTAAGAGATGTTTCTTCCCAACCTGTCAGTCAGCAGATGGCCCAAAGAGGGAGGATTTATAGCCCTTCTCAGAATAATTCTAAAACATTTTAACCTAATGTAATTGTGGCTGCTAATTATACATACAAATGTCCAATAGATTGCTAAAGCCTACTAAACTCTTGACCTGCCTGATGGCTTGCAGCAGAGATCCATGAGCTGAGTTTGTGCTGTGTACAAGTATTTCCCTTTATCAGTTTGAGGCTATTGCCGACAGATTTCACTGAATGTCCCTCTGCGTTTGGATTATGAAGGAAAGTAAAAGGGACACCCAGCAATTTCTCCTCTCCCACATTCAGCATTTTGTTCTCTTTCATCACCCCTTACTGGTCTTCTCAAACTAACCTAACCCATCATTTCTACTCACTGGGCCTCGGACTAATTCGGTGGCCCATTTCTGTATCCCTTCGGCTATATTCTCTTCTGAGTTGTCTACAACTGACTGCAGTAATCTAGGTGAGAGCATGAGAGAATTTCAGTATTTTCTATCCATCCCATTTTTGATGCATCCAAACAAGGCCTGCTTTTTGACTACTGTGATGGGGCAAGGCCAGATGGCTATAGAAAAGTAGTGGGAGATAGATATATTAGCTCCAGGCTAAACAAATCCCTGGTACCAGGATAAGTGAAATGGCAGCTGCTCCAGGTCAATTAAGACATCTGGGGCCAATTAAGAACTTTCCAGAAGGCAGGGAGGACGCTAGGTTGATTGGGACACCTGAAGCCAATCAGAGGCTGGCTGAAACCAGTTAAAAGTTAACTCGTTAATGTTTTTCTTGTGGGTGTGGGAGCAGGACATGGATTATAACTGGAGCTAAGAGGAAGTCAACATATGAATTCCCTCTTCAGAAAGCTTTTTCCCTGCAGCTTCCTCTGACCAGAGGGCTTACAGCCATTTGGAGACATGTAAGTTCAGAGATTTCAAGCAGAGATTTGCTTGGCTAGGGAAAGCATTGTATATTAGCACACTGCATTCTCCATAGCCCTTACTACTGTGCTGAAGCCACTGATAATCCTGGACTGCATCTAGCCCACACTCCAGCCAGATCTGGCTTACATAAAAGCATTTAAATAAGAAAGCCAATGAGCAGCACCCAACTCATGGAGGTAGTTCTGTTTCATTGCACTTGTTCCAAACCAGCCATTCCAGCCTCAGACGCCTCAAGAGAATGTGACTTTACAGTTAGTCATAGTTGAGATCACTTCAGTGCTGGTGGGACAGTAAGTGGATTCTCTTCTGGGAGCAGACACTTGTTAGAGAAGGCTCGTGTGTTCGGATACTGATTTGTCCCAGAATGTCTGATTTCTGTGAGGCAACAGTAGGTCAATTTAATTAATGGTACATCCCAGAGCTGCTTAATCTTGGGGGGAGGCAGGAGACATGAGAAGAGGGGAGTTGCTCCTCATCCTCCCCCTCCGCAAAAATATTCCTAACCAAAGGAGGAAACTAAAACTCCAGAGTAAACTAGTGAGAAAGAAACAAGTGAACACCATTCACCACACTCACCAACCTCCACTTCTATAAACCACAACCCTATGTTTAATGTACATACAGGATTGTGGCTTAGCACTTGCCCTGTGCATGCTTTGACAATACTGTTGCCTTATTCCATGCAGGCTGGAAACCACAACAAAGATCAGATAGGAAGTCCACTGAAAGAATAGAGATATAATTATATACTGAATTTTTGATGTTATGGATAGCCCAACTGTCAATACCCACATGCTAAGCAGCATCACGTAGAAAGAGCACACATCACAAAATGAAGCCTGCATGTCATTTGTCAGCGCTACACCCAGATCCATTTAATTTCAATCCATTAGTCCTCACAAGCAGTTTTTCTATTTGTCTTCTTGCCTACTTTGTATAAACTGAATTGTGAAGATCACCAATTGTCAGACACTAGATGACATCCAGCAGGGCAGAGGCCAAGAAGTTCAGCATCTAAAGATCTAAACTCAGAAGAGGAAGCCCCTTTTACAACAAAAGGCAACTTGTGTAGTTTCAGGTAAGTCCCAGTTTTAAATGACCAATATTCTTGTGCAACCACCATAAAAATCTAGTCTCTACTGGCAGTTATTAAAATGTTAACAAGTCACGCCAAATCCAAACCACCAAAGTCAATCTCGACTACAGGAAAAGAAGTTGTGACAGGACACCATGACACACGTGGATGATCCTGACGCTTCCCAAATGGGGCAGACAGTCCGACTAAAGACGGACAGGAAGAGGCTCTGTATGGACATTTTAACCCAGATGTCAAGAGCTGCTCTTAATAGAAGAAACCTTCAAAATTACCTCAGACGACCCCTGGCTTTCATCCGCACAACCATGATCTTCTGATGCTCGGGACTGAATTCTGTATTTAGTTATGGTTTCAGAGTAGCAGCCATGTTAGTCTGTATACGCAAAAAGAAAAGGAGGACTTCTGGCACCTTAGAGACTAACCAATTTATTTGAGCATAAGCTTTCGTGAGCTACAGCGCACTTCATCGGATGCATTCGGCATCCGATGAAGTGAGCTGTAGCTCACGAAAGCTTATGCTCAAATAAATTTGTTAGTCTCTAAGGTGCCAGAAGTCCTCCTTTTCTTTTTGTATTTAGTTATACTCTTGTTTAATTTTATATTTCCCAAGTCCTTAAGACCGTAACATGGGAATCCAAAAAATCCTCCAGCTTATTGTTAAGACTAGAAATTCGAGACAGGAGAGCCCAGTTACATCAGCTTACCTCTTTCTCAGCTCTAAAATACTGTTCTCAACAGCATTTGTCCCCTACGACTTTGTCCAGTCTAGTGTTAAGTGTCTCAACTAAGGAGACGTCCATGCCCTTTCCTGGGAAACAAGTCTCAAGTTGGGAAGCTTTTCTTGCTATTCAATCTAATTGTTGAACAATTTCCTTCATTTCAGTTCACAAGTCCTTATCCTCCTTGAAGCATCCTACAGAACGCCTGCCTCCTTGGGGCTTGCGAGGATTTCTCTAGTGTAGATGGGCCCAGTGACGGTCACATCTCACCAACTCTAGCTGCTCAGCAGAGCCATTATTTAGATTTTCATCTTTCTCTTCTCAAGCTCTCTAGAGCCACAGGATATTCTGCTTGAGCCATGTGTGAAGAAGATAAAGCTATCACAGCCACATGATTTGATGAATGATGCTCTCTAATAAGAAACAATATTCAGAGCAATGACTGCTCACGGATGGGTTGGACATATTTTCTTTTCCGGCTGCTTTCTGGATTAACAGCATTTGCCTTCAGCCTCTGCACAATGCTAATTTTATTGCTAAAGGTAAAACTCATCACTTTTGCTGTGCCCCAAAGACTACTTATTTTCCAAAATGCTGGGTTTCTGTAGTAGCATTATGCATGCCTATGCCTGCCAGCTGATTTATGGACTTCGGTTTCAAGGCTGTATGTATTGACTGCGGTAGAATGATCAGCAAAAGGCAAGTATTCCTCAAGGGCTCTCCACCCCTTTGTTTGGGTGTGTGCTAGGTCACTTGCTCTCTGACATCCTACAACGCCTTTGAGTGGAGAATGTATACCAGTGTGACCATGACACCAAGATGTAATGTTTTATATTGAACATGAGGGGTCTCCCCGCCCCCTACCTTCAAACCCTTCCCTGCAATAGCTAGGGTTGAGATTTTCAGAGCCAACTATGGGATCTGAATGTCCAATTGCCATTCGTTTTAATGGGAACCGGATGTTCAAATCCCTTTGGTTCTTTGAGAAAGTTACGCCTATGTTTTGAAGGGAAAAGGAACAGATGGGATAAACCAAGTTTGCTTCTTCCCTTCAAGCTGTGCTGGACTGAAATGGTCTCCGATCTCTAGGCCAGAACCAATGTTTAGAAGCTTAATTATGTTTAGAAGTAGTTCTAGAACTCCGAGCACAGGAAACATCTAACTTATTCCAAGCACTTTCGGCACGGGTTCAGGCCTGAGAAAAGCAGGTACCAGATTTCAGACAAGTGTTATTTTAACTCAAATAAAAACCCACCGTTGTGTTTGGCGGGGATGCTGGAGCGAAGAACATTAAAAGGAGTGGCTGCCAGTTTATTGTACCGGTCAGCACTGAAGCACACAGCTCTACAAGGGAAGTGGAGATACTTGCACTGCCAGGGTCTGTAGCAGGGCTACATCAGTCTCTTGAGCGATAAGCCAGATCACTTGTAGCAGCTTGATAAAGTCATCTGAAAATGTCATGCATGGGGATGCCACGTCTCAATACTGACTGTCCTCGGATGTGCCTAACACAAGCACTTCAACTGAATGTTTGCTTAAAGAATTTGATTAAATCCAGCATGGTAGCTTAGAAATGAATGTCTCAGTTTGGGGTGAACAGCCAGAACGTATGAGAATATAGCAGCGAAAAATCTTACTAGAGCCTTAAACCCAAGGTGCCCAAGATCTCTTACCATGAATACCTCTAGCAACTTGCCAGGAGCCAGAAAACACCTCATGGGCCTAAAGTGAATTAGATTACAGCTGTCTACATCCAAAACAGTGACATGTGATCTTCTGAGACTAACTCCCAGCATCCAATGTTTCCTCTTTAGCTCATCAGTTTTCCATTTAGATCAAGATAGAGCAATGCATGAGAAGACATGTATTGTCAGCAGACCACATCCGAGTATTAAATCAAAGGAAGCTACAGGATGCATTTTAGAAATATGAGTCACGTTCACCTTCCCCTTGAACACCCCAAACCTATTTTAACGTGTTGAATCCTTACCTTAGTTGCTGTGTTTTGAGATGATTGTTCTTCTGTACAAGGTGTTGACACAGATAAGGAAGGCAGCCTGGATGAAGAGGATAATGTTGATGTCTCCATTCCACTGTCCACATTTAAAGCAGAAAGTCCAACAACTTGATGTCCGTTGAGTTCACTAGCCTTACTGGGAGAGCAGGCCTGTAAAGAGCCATTTTGGAGACAGGTAGCGCTGTGAAAAGTGCTTGTGAGCTTTGACATTTTCTGATCGCTCTCATCTGAGTCGAGCTTGGGAAAGGAGAGAGATTTGATATTGCTCACTGACGTGATGGGGGAGAGGGACACTTTGGAAGACAGGGACATCTTTTCACAGTTTTCCAACTGTGGTAAAGTGATAAAGCCATTGGGTTTGTGAAGGGGCTTGAAGTCCAAGGTAGCCCTTTCTATGGATGCCAGAACTTCCTGATCTTGTAACGCAGATTCTGGCCCTACTTTGGGCAAGTTATTCTCCAACAGTTGGGTGACAATTGGCCCAGTCGTACCAACGTGAATTTCAAGAATATTTTTCAGTTCTTCTTTTTCATCAATAGTTTTTAGCTCCAGATTGTCAAATGGGTCTTCTTCACATTCAAAATCTGCTGGGTTGAAGTCTGCCTTTGGGTAAGGCGGACTAAGGACCTTTTGCTTTATGGCACTGCTGTTGGCAGGGGTGGGAGTAAGAATGTTATTGTGCTGTAGACTAGCGAGAATAGGGTTAATGGGAAGTGGCAGAGCTTCAGAGAAGCCCATTTTGCTGTTGTTGTCTGAAGCAGCCTTGGAATTAGCTATTGCTTGCGCAGCCTTTTGCTCTGCTTCTCTCTGAGCTGCTTGGATTTTTTTGATGTCTTCCGCCCACTCAACAGTTCTCTTTTCCAGGGAGAAGTCATACTGTAAGGAAAAACGAGATTCAAGGGTAAGGAACATAGTCACTACTTTATGACGGCATCATCATCCCATACGTAGCAAGGAACATGGAGTAACAACTTAGAGGTATTACCCAAGGGGTGGGGAGGATTTCTCTTAACTAATATCTCTGCTCACCTACAGACAAGCAGAAGACATTCTTTGTGCCTCTAGAACAGGGGTTCTCAAACTTCATTGCATCAAGACCCCTTTCTGACAACAAAAATTACTATATGACCCCAAGAGGGGGGACCGAAGCCTGAGGCCACCCTGGGAAGAGTGGCCAGAGCCAAAGCCTAGTCTCCAGCACCCCAGGTGGGGGGGCCAAAGCCATAGCTCAAGGGCTTCAGCCTCAGGTGGGGGGCCTGTAACCCTGAGCCCTGTCACAATGGCTGAAGTCCTCAGGCTTGGACTTTGGCCCTAGGTGATGGGGCTCGGGCTTGGCCTTTGGCCCCAGCAAGTCTAATGCCAGTCCTGGCGACCCCATTAAAAAGGGGTCGTGACCCACTTTGGGGTCCCGATCCACAGTTTGAGAACTGCTGCTCTAGAAGCTAACCTTGGTTATATGCCAATGGATATATTCTATTCCTCCTTTCCACATGATTTTGCTTAAAAACTGTTACGAAGATGAACACAATACCACAGCATCTATCTCCCACAGAAGAGAGCATGCGTAGAGTAGAAATCAAGCACACTACTCAACGGTAGATCTCTACTATGCTCTAGCTTCAGGATTTGCTGGTAGGCTGCAGATTCCCCTGTTGATGAACTGGCCACAAGCCACACAAGAATAGAGTAGATTCTGGATTACTGCATCGCTGGAAACATCATGGAATTTTTTACCTCTCTTCAGAAGAGGTTAAAGTCCATAGCAGAGTTTAGTACCCAACAGAAAGAAGAGGTACTAACCTACGTACTGCCAGTTTTGCCAAGTCAAGAACCCAGCAAAGGAGTCATAAAACTGAGACATTAGCCCCTAGCTTAGGGTGCGTTTTTCTACAGAGGCAGATCTGTGTCGCTATTACCAGCATGACAGGGTCCCCTGAGCTTTCTCACATTTTAATATGAGCACTTCCTTGGAAGTGCAAGCACAAGGATCAAATCTTACATAAACCTCTAGGCCAAATGCCGCCCATCCCCATATTCACACGGCACATATCACTGTAATAATCTTTCTACAAGGCATACCTCATGAGGTACCATTCGAAAACTAATAAATTTGCTGGTCAGTAGTATCATGCTGAAATGTACACAGCAATGTGATCCGTAAAGTTATGAACACAAGCTGAAATGACTGAAATGTGTTTACCAGGCAAGTCTGGGGAGGGAGCAAACCTGTTTCTCAAAGACAAGCTGGCGCCTCTAGCCAGGTGTCATCAAAGTTGACTGACGATCAATCACCAGTCAAGTGGCCATTCTTTGGCAGTGAAGGGGGGCAGGAAAAGATTGAGACTCCACGCCTCCACCCTCACAGCTGGAAGGAACTTTAACTGGGATAACCCTCAGGAAAATGCATTTCAAAGGGTGACTGGACTATAAATTGAGGGTCAAAAACACCCCAGGTACTCCTCCCGCATCCCCTCACCTCCTTTGACCAGGGAGATAAAGGAACCAGCCTTTGGACTTTGTGTAAGATCTTGACTTGAAAATTTGATCAGCAATGTTGCTGGGAACCTGTGGTAAAGATTTTACCTTGAACCAAGTTTAGTTATTAAAAAGCATTTTTTCTTTGCTTTTCTTGTAGCCATTTTTTATTTTAATGCCTTATAGTCACTTAAAATCTCTCTTTGTAATGAAATAAACTTGTTTTACTCAATCAAAACCAATTCAGTGTTGTGTTTAAACTGAATTGTTTGGTAACTCCAGCAAACCGTTGTACACTGACCCCTTTCAGTGTCAATGGACCTACAATATCCCAACTGTCCAGGAGAGGGCTGGGCAGTGCAGCACATGCGTTTCTGGGGAAAATCTGGGACTGGGAATGTGTTGGGGTCACCCTGCAGATCGTAACTAAGGCTGCTAGACGCCAGACTGGGGCTGGTGTGTACCTGACAGGCTGCTGGGGTCAGAGTTGCTGGAGCAGGGCTGTGGCTATATGCAGACACTCAGCATGTAACCTGCATGCTGTTTGTGAGACGCAAAGGTTGGGAACTACAGCAGCAAAGCATTGTGAAGCACCCAAGGCAGCAGGATGGGTGGTGACAAAACCCCTCTCTGGTCTGGACTGCACCCCAGAACGTCAGACCTGCCCACAAAGCCAGTTTGCAGGACAAGAGAATTTACAGTTGCACAAGTGACAGAACAGTCCACAGCCAAAATTACTTAAGGCGCTAATGCTTTACAAGAGCAAACAGTGGTACCTTCTGAGCACGCAGGCTTAGCCTGTGGATATTCAGTGCAAAGGACAGACACTTCGCACAGTGGCCTTGGCCCTTATGCCGTGCTACAACACTTGACATGCTGAAAGCAGACAAGCCTAGCACCAGCAAGCTGGACTGTCTTCTGCTGCAGATGTCAAAGGAAGCCGTGCACCATGACACATGACTTCACTGCAGCAGTCACATCAGGCACACCAAATGTGTGTGTCACTGGCTTGGAGGGAAAGGGAAAGGAGAGTTAGCGCCACGTCCCAGGCTAGCCATTTAGGGTTAAAATGGGCCTCGAACATACCAGATCAACTCCTTGTAGAAAGTATACTATGAAATCAAAAGACTTAAACTATTGATTTGATCGGCTCTGTGGTCAGGACTCAAAATCCATATTCCAGGGAACTCTGTGGAAACATCACATGGCATAAAGAACACCAAGCCACTCTACTGCGACCTGCCATTCTCTCTGCATCAGGATTGGCACTAAACAGGACCTTGGCTCCTAATTTAAAATTTCAGTTAAATTAGTGCGGTTGGATTTCTAGTTCCAATTTGAAAATGATAAGCACACAAGGATTTTTTAAAAGTTAGTCTGTTTAATCAGTTGATTTCAAACTAACCAAAAAAATTAAGGCAACTTAAGACCACATGCCTGGAAAAGAGAGGAGAGATTTATTTGCCAAATTACGTAACTTGGCCACATGGCTGGGTAAATAAATTGTCAATGAGAACTACAAAGCAAAACAAGAGCTAGAAGTGTAGTTCTCCACCCAATAAAAGCAGGACAGGGGAAGTCAGAAGCCACAGAACACCATGCATACGCACCAAAGCACCAAATCTACTTATCTACTTTTTACACAAATTATAACAAAAATTAAATTCATTTGACAGCAAAAAAAAAAAAAAAATCCACTAACTCCAAACAACCAGGATTTTGTAAGAGTGCTAGAACGCCTATATTTGAATTTTCCATTCTTGTTAAAACTGCCAAACTGTAGGATAGTCAGGGACAGAAGGAACAGAGTTAAGGTTGTTGTTGGAATCTGAACTGTGAATTTCCCGACTTTCCCATTAAAAAGTTCTACTTAAGTATACGTTTAACTTGAACTGTATCAAAGCTCTGTTTCAGAATTTCCTGGGCTTTTATTCCTTTTTGATAAATTATGACGACATGTAAAGCATTTGAGATAAGCACCGTAAAACTTGCAATTACAGCAGGAACATAAAAATTGCCATATCTGTCTCTATAGTCTAGTATCCTGTGTAGGACAGTAACTGGAACAAGATCTTTCAGAACAGGGTGCAGGAAACCCCATAAATGGGCAATTCTAGAACAACCAGGATAGCTCTAGCAAACATTTATATAAGACCTAAATCTGGATATTTCGAAATTTATGACATACCAAACATTAACAACAAAGGGAACAAACAAACAAAACACCCATTTACCTGGGCTTCTCTGACAAGCTGGGGAGAATCAGGAAAGCAGAAACCAATGGGTAAGCCAACCTTGGCTGGTGTTTTGAATTTGTCTCCGATCTTAAATGGGACATCATCAAGATAACTGAAAGGCCCTAAGATCAAAAGTAAAAGTTACATCAGAGACTCAAATGTATTATGCATTCCTGTTAGCTTTCAAATATGGAAATGTGAATCTATTTTATCTTTGCTAACCTACCTGCACAAAAATGAAAGTAGCCAGAAAAAGAACATACACGCAGAGCATGCTTGAGTTTGCTGCCCCACTTTTATCCAAAATATTTTGTTATACACACTTTTCAAATGGCTGAAAGGTTGAAATTTGGTCTCAGATTTCTGGACAGATTATCAAGTAAGTTTCCCTGCACTAGTTTCTTTTGCCTTTCGCTCTGTATACACTTAAAAGTTATGTTGACATAGCTGTGTCGGCCAGTGGTGTGAAACAATCACGCTCCTGACCAATATAGCCCCAGTGCAGAACTGCTACGTCGACATAGCTAATGTTTGCACAAGGGGCGTTCCTACACGAACAGAAAAACTTCTGTTGGTGTTAGTTGTGTCTACACTGGGGACTACGCTGGCATAGTCTCCGCAGGGTAGACATACATTTAAAGATGCATCCACACTGGGGGTGGGCAAACTACGGCCCGTGGGCTGCATCCGGCCCGTCAGGGCTTTGGATCCGGCCTGTGGGATTGCCAACCCTGTGGCACCGTGGGCCCCGCACCACTCCCAGAAGCACCTGGCACTATGTCACTGCAGCCCGCGCGCTGCCCCGCCTGCGGGCACCGCCCTCCGCAGCTCCCATTGGCCGGCGATGGGAAACCGTAGAAGGGGAGCTTCAGGGGAGGTACCTGCAGGCAAGGGCAGCACGTGGAACCCTCTGCCCCCCCTCCCTAAGGGGCTGCAGGGACATGGTGCTGACCGCTTCTGGAGCAGCGCGGTGCGGCCTGGGGCCAGGGAGCCTGCCTTAGCCCTGCTGCACACCGCTGTCACCCCGGAGCAGCTCAAGGTAAGCAGCACCGGGCCAGAGCCCTCGCCCCGAACCCCTCCCGCCCCCCAACCCCCTGCCCTGAGCCCCCTCTTATAACCCGCACCCCTCCTCCACACCAACCCCTTGCCCTGAACCCCTTCCTGTACCCCAACCCCCTCCCATACCCTGCACCCCAACCCCCTGCCCCAGCCCTACATTCATGGCCCTGCATGCAATTTCCCCACCCAGATGTGGTCCTCATGCCAAAAAGTTTGCCCACCCCAATCTACAGTGACTCAACTTCAGTTTTGGGACCCCAGTTTCTGTATCAATCTAATTTCACTTCCTTGGTCAGTCAGCTGGTATACTGTGCCCTCTGCTTATCACACTGATCACAAACTTCTCACTGTTACCGTGTCCCCCTCGTCCCCCCACAATCTGTCTGTTTTATCCATCTGTTATCTAGTCCTCTACTTGAATTCTAGACTGTTTGGGGCAGGGACCATCTCTGTGTTCTACGTTTGTACAGTACCCAGCGCGGTCGGGCTACCAGAAAACAAGTAATAAACACCAACGACCATCTGAAGTTTTATGACAGCACCCCCAGCTGGGAGAATAGATGGAGTTCCAAACGCCAATCTGAATGGCAATTTGTTTGAAAGTGATATTAACCCCACTCCTACACCAGTGTTCAATGACCAGTTTATCTGTACATTCACTTTTGGGGTTGGAATATTATAGAAGATGCAGCTACAGAGTACTGTCGCCACCTTAGAGGAGAGACCGAGCTCAGGAACTAACCTCTTTTCACAGCCTGAGCAATCCCAAAGATCCCTGATGTGTCATCTCCCTTTGACCAAATTTCAAACTTAAATGGCCATTCATAAATACCTCCTGCGCTCCTCTATTACTGAATCATCTACAAGAACGCAGCCAAGCGCTAATGAAGGACAGGTTTTCAAAACCAGGAAACACCCTATCACCTGGGGCTGAAGACTGTCAGCGAGCCCAAGCGATGACAGCATTGCAGGATGTGGCACATCAGCCTGCTCTCAGATTTGTGCTAGAGAGATAGTGTCCTTTCAGCTTTGAATCCCTGGGACTGACTATTCCAGAGCCGATCTCGTTCCTCACCGTGACCGTGAACTGAAGAAGTCTCTCAGAGAATTTAACAGTAACTTTACTCGTTGCACCCCCAGCAGAGATAGCAACATATTCAGTGACTGCTCAACAGCACTGCAATTTCGATGTTGGGAGGGGACCACGGCCATTACTGCAACAAGGCGTCTAGTTTAAGGATGTGTGTAGTTGAACGGGTACACTAACAACTCCCAAGTGTTAGTTTATGCAGAGATCGTGACCAGAGTGCCCATCAATGGGAACGGGAATCACAACCCATCTAAACCAGACCAGACGCCCTTTGATTGCATGGGAGAGATGAGGTGGGTGAGGTCATATCTTTTATTGGACCAACTTCTGATGGTGAGAGAGACAAGCTTTCAAGCTTAGACAGGGCACTTCTTGAGGTCTGGGAAACATAAGCCTGGTGTACATTACAGAGTTAGGCTGACGTAAGGCAGCGTACAACGACCTAACTCTGTAAGTGTCTACACTAACACTCAGCTCCAACTGATGCAAGCCATCCAATACACCGACTTAATAACACCACCTCCATGTGAGGCGTAGCGCTTCGGCTGATGTAGTTAGGTCAACACAGGGTCAGTGCAGTCACTGCGTTGTTGACATGGACTGTTGCTGCCTCTCAGAAGCTGTCTCACAACTGCCCCAATTGGTGCAAGCGTTCCTGGTCAGGACGCACACGGCCGACACAGGGAGCATAGTGTGGACAATTTAATTACTGTGCTGGCTGTATGTCGACGTAACTTAGGTCAACTTAATTTTGCAGTGTAGACTTGCTTGTACTCAGTGTCACAGATAAATACACAGTGGAACAGATTGTTTAGCGTAAGTAGCTAACACATAGTTTACGGGACCATTCAAGGTGAAGTGGCCCATTAACACTCCTCCCTCCCATCGCCTCCTGCCCGCTGTGGATCAGCTGTTCCCCAGCGTGCAGAAGGTGCTGGGGGGAGGGGGAAGGAGCAGGGACAGGGTGCACTCAGGGGAGGGGACGGAGCGGGAACGGAAACAGATGGGATGAGGTGGGGGCTTGACGGGAGAGGTAGAGTGGGGGTGGGGCCTGGGGCTGAGCAGGGGTTGAGCTCCCCCAGGCAAAGGGAAAATGCCCGTGCTACACTACGCGTTGTGACAGGCATGAGTAGGAGTGCGACTACTGCTCTCTGTCTTGTCTTATCAGAGCACCAGGTAGGGAGAGATTAAAAGTTATGATTATTTTTAATGCCACGTGAGCTAAAGCCAGGACATACAGCACTAAGGTGAGGGACGGTACAGGCAAAGACTGGCTGCTCTACTCAGGAATTTGCTTCTTGCTAGTTTCACCTTAGCAGTCAGCGTGTGATACCTGACAAATATTACTGGGAAATTATTTTTAGTGTCTTCCCAGTATACCGATTTTCTGACTGTGACCACCACTGTAACCTGGCATTTACCGACGGGCTGCCATAGACATGGGAACCATCCTCTCTCTCAGGGTAGCCTTTCCAGAACACTTTGTGATGGGTTTATAGAATTTCCTTTTGTGGGGAGAAAGGAGAGAAAAACCCCAAAGGTATATTTCACTTGTTTTACCCAGGTCAGGGATTTTCCTTTGTATCAGAATATGGTTAGAGTCCTGCCCAGAATGTGATTTAAGCCATTGGCCTTTTTTTGCAGAGGGCTGAACATGCCAATTCCCCGGAAATGATTTTAAAAAGCAGATTGTTCAAAGCAGGGAGCAAAAAGAAACTGGATTTTAGTACAGACGTAGGCGTGGCTGTTACTCAGTGTTCATCCACAGCAGCATGCACACATGAGTTTGTTACAACTCACATTAAGTAACAGGATGATATTTAATATGTGGCTCCTTGGAATTTGGACTCTGTTTAAACAATTATTATAGCAGACCCAGGAAGTTCAGAAAAACATGCACCCACTTTATTCAAACCATCCTTTCTGCCTCGGCCAAGACCAACAAAAGAGTCAGTATCACTGTGTATCACCGATTATGTAAACACAGGCCTGGTCTGACCCCCAGATGCCTCAGGTGCATCCCCAGGAAACAATGGCCTCCACAGTCTAGCAGCTTGATGAGTGAACGTGTAAAGAGGTCACCACCGACGTGGGGAATCGGTTCAAAACAATAAGGAAGGTACCTTTAGTGGTCACATTGAGTGGAGGGTGTAAAATGGGGTCCAGCCAGGATCGCTCCTCTCCCAGCACTCCCTGGAACCAGAACTGTGCAGTGAAGACCCCCATACACACACACACACACACTCTGAGCACTAGGATCCAGGTGGTGTCTCCTCTCCCCGTCACGTAGCCTTGGGGGAAACCGTGCAGAGAACAACCAGCCAGAGACTCTAGTTGGTAGGAACAGACAGCCACCGCAGGGACCTATGGATAGTCCAGTCAAAACTGCAGAATGTTCTGACTGTCTCTGGCCAATTGACTGTTTTCTCCAACCCTCCCTCTCTATCAGTGTGTCTTCACCTCAGCTTCACTCCTGCCTGTCCCTCCTTGCCCTCTTCCCTCGCCCCTTCCCTTTTCTTTCCATTTAGCGGATCTCCTCCTTGCTGCCATCACATGGTTCACCCTGCTTGCACCCTTTCCCCACATCCTGTGTCAGTCTTGTCTATTTAGATTGTTAGCTCTCCTGAAAAAGGACTTCCTGCTACTCTACACAGCGTCTGGCACGACGGGGCCCCATTCTTGGTTGGCCCTTCGCACTACCCTTATAAACACGAGGAATAACTGGAGCAGTTTTGGACATCAGCTGAGGAAGCGGCAGCAGCAGCTTTCAACTTGCGTGGCAACAATTAGCACTGTGTTAGCAGAACATCAAACACTACCCTTGGGAAACTTCAGTTCACCTTTTCAACACACCTGCAGAAAGCTACATTTCCAGGCATTGCCATTCACTTGGCTTGCAAGTCTCTAGCTTCTAGTTCTTCAAACACCACCACAGTGCACTGAGCTCCGTGCTCAGAGAAACCTGCTGGAGCATTCTCTTTCTGAAGTATGAATTCAGAAGGTGGCTTCCTCAAAGCTCCAGGTATAACCTGGGTTCCCCCCATCCCTCCATCCCACCAACTCCCTACTTGATACCGGAGGAGTTGAACTGGACTGTGGGTTCCACCAGAGGGGAAGGTCTCTGGCCTGTTCCCCAATTCTCTAGGTGGATCAGCAGAGACTGCGGGGATTGTTCTTCCTTTCCCCATGCTGGCCAGCGATGAGGCTAACTGAGTGAACGGCAGATCTGAAGCACGAAAGCAGCCAACTGAGGGCTGCCGTAAACCTCTGAGGCGAGAAAATCTGCCAATAAGTGCAGGAGCCACCAAGGCAGAGGAGGAACTCTGTCAAACCCTTTACAGGTAAAGCAAGTAAACGCCAGATACCAAGAGGGATTTTACAACTAACCAGCTTTGTAATAGCCTCATGTAAATTCCCATAAACAGCAAGCACGGGGAGTGTGTTCATTTGAAGTGTCAGCTCTGTACAATTCTAGAAACTCTGTACACTCTAAGCTACAGCTACTTGCTGGGCTAGATGTTGTGTCGTAAACTGCAATTATAGGGACAGTGTCACCTATTTGTTCTTTTGGACGCTGGGAGGTGATTGAAAAGAGTTTTCCCCACTAATTGCCCAAGAGATGACAAAACAAAAGTTGTGCCCATCCCTCCCCAGAAAGTTTAAGTCAGCACAGCAATAAACTTAGTGTTAGAATTGCCAATATCAGCAGAAACACAGAGAGCCTCACAACAGGGTATTTCAGTTAACTACTGATGCTGCAGAGCCATTTCTTTTGTTCTTGTTATTTTGTTATACAAGGGGCGTTTCCCACCAGATTGTAACAATTAGAGCCCAGAATTGTAAAACCTCTGGCTCCAAATGCAATATTAATTCTGCATTGCACATATACTTATTACATTCAACAGTAATCAGCAATTAAACAGCACATGGTCCAGCTAACTTTGCTCCTGGAACTCTGACAAGACATATTAAAAATTAGATACCATTTCTTACCTATTGTCACATCTTTGATTAAAGAAAATGTTACAATCTGGTTTCAGGATTTATTATGTTTTCATTTTGCATTTCCTAGGCTAGTCAGTCTGACTTGTTTATAGTCCTTTCCCTGCTGTCGTCACTTTCTGATCCCTTTATACTAGGGCAAGGAGAAAGCATAAAGGTCAACTTAATGGGGCAGACTTTTCCAAGCCTTCCTCTCCCCCATGGTGGAGTGCTCTAGTGTCATTTTGCTCACCTGAAACACTATCTGGAAAGAGAAGGGACTCTAAACTCTATGAAAAGGAAGAAGTCTGCATGGACAATCACTTTAACTTAGGTTGGTACTGGTCATTTCACACGCAATTCTTGATTACACATACAACTGCAATATTTGCATGCAACTGCAAAAATCGGATCCTCAATCACAGAACTTTGAGGGTCAGAATAGTTTCCCACTCTCCCGTCCCCAAAACTTTAGACCCGACTCCAGCAAACGCACACTTAGCTTTACACAAACGGACTCTAGTGAGATTATTCATGTGTAAAATTAAGCACATATTTAAATGTGTGCAGGATCAGGAGTTTACAGAAAATTCCACTCCTTTCCTTTCCTCCTTCACTTACCCGAAAGTAAGTTACTTAAATGGATTCAGTTCAAACTATATTTGAAATAAATTCATCACAGGGCAGACTCCAAGCATGAGCAGTTTCAGTCATAAGGAGACTTTATGGAAGTTATAAATGAGGAAAAACAGTTTAAAATTAAAGTGAAGTTGCAACCTTCGCTATATAGAGTTTGCTTCTGCAAACGCTATTCCACTGGCCTACTGTTGGTTTAATTTCACATGCACATGCATACACCAAGCTAGGGATTTTCCCGTTTTCACGTTTGAAGTGTTCTTAATGCTATGAGTGAAAGATAACAGACTGAAGTCCTCGGTTTAGGCAGAGAACAGGCATAGGCAACAGAAACGTAAGTTTCCGCGCCACTGCCCCACCAATGCCCTTCCAGCCCTGACATGAAAGAACCAGCTCTAGCAGAGACAAAGCAGACTAATCTCCATTGAGCACTCAAGCCATGGCCTCTGTGCTGACTGCCAGTTAATGCCAACAGTGGAAGTTTCTGAAGTGCACACATGTCCACTGAAAACCTGGATTGAGTCCAAGTTTATTGCACACAAGTCAATCAACAGCCAACAGAAAATGGCTACTTTTGGTCAGTAGCAGGATGGTGAAAGGCTTTTGAGTCTCCTATTAATCCCAAGAGCCACCCAAGAGCCACCCAATCCCGTTATATTATTAGATGGGGGGGGTAGAATCTATATTAGAGGTAACACAGAATGTTTTACGGGGAGTTTCCTCACATTAATCTTTCCAATACAAAAATACGGCACTTCACTTACCGTGAAAGTCGGATCCCGACTTCTTAGAAGCCATTTAGAATCTGAAAAACAGTTTAGAAGCATTAATAATCTTTCACATATGTTAAATAATATAATACTATGAGCTTCTATTTTGTCTTCCACCCAAGGATCTCAGGAAGCTTTGCAAATATTTGTTCAAATTTAGCCTAATGCCCCTGAGACATGAGTAAGAAAACCCATTTTATAGTCTGCGAAACAGATCTGGATTGTTAAGTATTTATTTAGCGTGCGCATAGTCGTCTAGCCAAGTGAGGACATTTTCAGTGGTGTGATGCAGTTCTTCGAGGCCCTCGCTGAACCTAGTCAGCAGGCATTCATCAACAATGTGCATCATCGTCGGTGTTGCACCGCAGCTACACAAAGGACTGTCACAAAGGCCCCAGCGATACTTGCCCGGTCCAGAACCTTTTCAACAGGGACCTTGGAGACGGGGCAGGTCAAAACCAGGCAGGCAAATTGCTAAGTAACTTGCCCAAAGTCACACCATCGGGGCACAGTCAGGAAGAAACTAGGTACCCTGACTCTGTGTTTGCAGCACAAGAGCATCCTTCCTCTCCAGCTGGTCTTAAGATACTAAACATGTTTATCCTACATGGGGGAAAAAACCAAACCAAACCAGATTTAGTTCATTTGTGTCCAAAGCCCTATTTTCACTGATACGCTTAGAAAGTGAGAGCGCCTTTCAGGAGTCAGGAGATGCAGAGAATTATGCAGAAGCCAGCAGTGAAACGGACATTGGTCCATGTGCACTTTCCACTACCTAGCGGGCAGAAAACTACATAGTGTAGATTCCATAAACATTGTGTATTATCTTAGAACATTTTAACCAAAACTCTCTTTAGTTAATGTTAAGAAAACCTCTGCAGAAGCTGGGACACAGATCAAAGGGAATACAACATGCCTAAGATACGCACGAATCTACTAGCAGTCTGTGCACTACACCTGCCACCTGTGGACAAGCACAAGAGAGGCCGCAGCTGACTAAACAAACATAACATGCATCTGTTTTCTCTAGTTACTGAGTTTACAGTGGCAAGGTTATTAGATCTAGAGGCCCTTGGACGTGGTTTCATCGGGAAGATCTTTATTTTGATGAGTACCGAGGGAAGGGAAGGAGTCTGCTCTGGTGACTGGAGGAAGAGGATGGATTCGGCACTCCCAGATTTTATTAGCTTCGCCAATGACTCGCTCTCTGACCAGATTTAGATCTGAACGCTGGCGGCCAAGAAAGGCCCCTTTCAGCACAGCAGCAGGCAGCTCAGCAACACCCATTCTAATGAAAAGCTGCTTCTCAAATGCAGCTCGCAGATTACCGAGAACACTTCCTGCCCGGATAACTCGGAGCACTAAAAAGCCCGAACGAGTGCCCAGCTCGCCTCGGCTAGGAAAAGTAGATGGTGGTTTCAAACAATAAAATTGTGCTCATGTTTTAATTAATATGATTTTAAACAGCACTTAACACCTAACGTAGACAGGATTTAGATCCTAGAGTTTCATATTATGCATGAATCAAGGTCAGCACATTGGATGGGAGGGGCCTACCATGCATTCTTGAAGGGACCTTAACATGGTCTGGCCCCACCAACTGGTATCAAAGAAATCTCACCCTGACTGGGGCAGACCTATTGTTGACACACACTTACCACAGGCCATCTTCCTAGAGAAGAATGGTTTCAGAGTAACAGCTGTGTTAGTCTGTATTCGCAAAAAGAAAAGGAGTACTTGTGGCACCTTAGAGACTAACCAATTTATTTGAGCATAAGCTTTTGTGAGCTACAGCTCACTTCATCGGATGCATATGCTCACGAAAGCTTATGCTCAAATAAATTGGTTAGTCTCTAAGGTGCCACAAGTACTCCTTTTCTTCTAGAGAAGAATGAGCCTAATAGATGGCATCATTAGGAAGTTTCCCCTAAAATGTTCCTTTTCTTAATTTCATCCCACTATTCCTGGTCAGACCACATTTATGGCACCCAAGGATTCTTCTCCTTCCTTACTCTGCATAGATTTGAAGGGTGTAGGCATTAACACTCTCCCCCTGCCTCCCCGCATCACTCCAAAATGGCATTGATTTACTAAGCTCACTCTTACTCAGTCTTTCTTCAAATCAGTCTCCTTGGATTCCCTCCAATATGTCTACCCCCTATCAATGAGAGGACCACATTTGAACAGAGCATTTTAGGTGTAACATCACCTGAACCAAAGAAAGGAAAAGAACCACCTACCCTGATCCACAAGTAACGCACATGAAAACAACTCCGGGTTTCTGTTGGGGTTTTTGGGGTTGCAGGTTACTGAAAGCATTGCCTACTAACCCAAGGAGTAAGTTTCCTAGCTTGCCCCCCCCCAGCTATAACTGCGCTGCAGTGTCCCTTGCCATTGAAAGAAACAAGACAGCTGTGCATTGTTTATTGCGAATTCAATTTAGTGAATGTTCTAAGTGTAACTTTAGCGCCTCTCTTCCTGCTATTACACTTTCCCTCCAAACTTCACTCCGCTTTCTCTTGCTTTTCATTCCTCTACTAAGTCCTGGTGCAGCTCTTCCTGCGTTTCCTTCTCCGTCCCCTCCCTCCATACCATCCCCTCACACCCAGGCCTTGGAAGTTGTCAATAAATACCCAGGACACAGGACTAAACCTGTGTTTAGAAATTTAGTAGCCAAAGGGATGTAATATAGGTGCCACTCCTGTCCCATTCCTGGCACTGTCCAGGGGATGTACCCAGGTAAGAAACCAATCTACCCCAACCTACTGCCCCGGGACTAGGTTCAGGGTTAGCAACTTTCACAGCCACATCCAGCTTGGGTTTGATTGTCCACAAATTCCTCTTTGCTGAATGGAAGAAAGAGCATGCCAGTCCCTCTGCACCTGAGCCAACAGACACCTCAACTGCCCACAAGCGAGTTAGGAGTTTCTACAACTTTACCTACCACCAGCTGCCTGGCTGCTACCCGCTCCCCCACGCTCCTTTTTGGGTCTTCCTCCTTTGTGAATAGCTCCAGGAGTGTCCTCTGCTACTACTAAGAGCTTTGACAGTCAGCAGCTAAACTACAGTCTATTTCATTGCAACCCAGAGGGCTCTGAGCAGCAGTTTTGAGCATGCTCCAGCCTGCAAAGTACTGAGTTTGAGCCATCTGCAGACTCAGGAAGGGAGCAGTGCCTCAGTTTACATTCAGTTCTCATTTGGAATGTTTCCTTTGCAGTTATAAGGACTAGAAATGTAACGCACACACTGGGAAAGTTTCCTACTCACCATGGGCAGAGGAGTCTTCAAGATCTGTCTTTAATACTGCTGTACAGCCCTCTCCCCCCATTCCTTTGTGATTCCATATGCAAGAGCTTTTGTGAAGGAGCAGTGCCCTTTATGACTCTCTGGGATCTGTCCAAGGGGGAAGGACTGGGGTGATTTTAGCACCCTAACAGCCTCACCTGCCAGGTCTTGTATGCAGGTCACCAGTATACAATCACTAACAATGATAAAGGCAGAGAGATCCAGTAGTGACTGCATGAATGTGAGACTTTATTCTGTGCTCTTAAGGTCCCCCATCACCATCCCCTGATCTGTCTGTTCACCATGTCCCAACATGAAACCCAGAACTGTTGGATTACTGCCAGGGGGCAGCACCCAGTTAAAGCGGCACCGGGGTCCTGGGAGGGACATGGGAGCCAGCAGCAAGGCGAGACACCGGCCGACAGAGGGCGCTCCGGAGGCTGGAATGCTAATTCCCTGAGACGTCCAGCAGGAGGTGCCACCGGTGAGTCCGCGCCCGGCTACACCACCAAACCTTCCTGGAGCACCATGGGCTCATTTTAGGCTGTGAGCAATGAGTCATGTTAGGTAACTCGGTATCTATTTTTAACTCAACCAGGTGTCATTCTGCTGATGCTTTCTCTAATACACCTCTAGGCTTGTTTATTTCACAATTTCTCTAATTTCCATACAATTTCCAAAAAACACTAAACCAAACACTACTGGCTTTGGAGATAGCTGGTACCCCTGAAGAGGGAACAAAGAAAGTACTTCAGCTTCTCGAGGGATGCAGAGAAAAAAGAGTGCACTAAGTGTGCAGCCCAAATAATGCAAAGAAAGGCGGCCAAGGACCAAGCAACCTATGGATTACCTGGCACAGCTGCACTGTAACTGCCAGTGTAAATGGGACTTAAACTGACCCCAACTCAACAAAGAAAGGCATTAGATAGTAGATCACACACTATATTAAAGAGACTATGCCTTTTAGACACCAAATCATAGGGCTGGGCAATAACTGAAGATAGAATTAACATACAATGACTAAACAAACAAGGATTTGGGGAAGTCGACTTGATATTTATTACAAGAGAAAGCAACATGAGTTTATATGTAGGTAGAAACTATATTTGACTCCATTATCCTCACCCTTCATATGTCACTAGCCTTGGATTGTAAGATCTTTGGGACAGGCACTGTGTATACCTCTAATTTCAGCACCTAGCCCAACGAGGTCCAACTCCAAACAAGGACCTTTGGACACTACCATGGGTTATTACAAATCCTACATTCCTTACTATGATCACGTCTCTATTTACCGGCTAATGCTGGAGAACTGTCAGAAATAAAGTTGTAAAAGATACCTTAAATGGGAAGAGAGAAAAACCATTTTCAAACTTCAGTGCACAAAGGGGAGGGATTGCTCTGCGACTCCAACAGGAATTATCTAGAGTAAACTCACACCCTACACTACTGGCTGCAGGTCAGAGTACCAGAAGCAGCTTAATCCTTCCTGCTGCAGCAGAAAGACAGATTACAAAAGTTTGGCCCTGAAACGGATGAGATTGTAGATTATTATATCACTATAATCCTGATGAACCCTATCAGTCTGTGCAAAGAACGGGCTATGCATAAATGTTATACACAGGAATCTGCACTAGCTAAGCACTGTCAGTGAATAGGACACTGAACTTGGTCCAGGAACACAAAGGCTAGTTGAAATATTATTCAATATTTATTACAAAAATAAAGCTGTAAAAGCCCAGCACAAAAA